GAGCGCCCAACATATCAAAATAGCACGCAGATCCCACGAACGCAGCCGAAATGCCACCGGGGTATAGTTCTGACTGCCCAGAATAGTTCCATGAAATTGGTATGAGCGGTCGGTCTCTTTTGGGAGAACGAAAACATACAAAATACCAAACGTAAAGGTCCATTCGTACACGGGTTATGTGCCCCTTATTTGGGAGTAAGCTCCCACCGAACGGTGTTCTGTTGTAAGTATATAACCGAACGCAGGTGGAAGGTGGAAGTTCAGCGGTGTTCGGGCGGTCGAGTGTCTGATTTTAGTTCCACGCACTCGAAGACCAAACACCGTTGCATGTGCTCGCGGCTCAAGATGGCCGTCGCCATATGTTCATACATACAAACGACGACCATTCAGCCGACCGCTTAGAACGTTGCGGTTACAATTGTTAATGAGGTGGTGATAGGGGTTTTAGAGGTTAACAAGCAGCACACGCAGCATACGGGTGGTCTGGTAGTTCGTGGGTTGGTTCGTGTTTGAATGAAATAAACCTAGACTTTTACACGAACATGGGGAACCGAACAAACACGAATGGGAGAAAAGGTTTTAAGAATCCAGGGACAGGATGATCTATCACACACTTCAAACTCGTTTTTTTTCCCCTTCTTTTGGATCAACAGCAAAAACAGATGTGAGAAAGGCTGAACTTAATGGACGCATGTCTGTTAATTATACCCCTGGGTATAATTAAAAAAAGTGAATAAAATTTAAATAAAATGACTGATTCCCTTTTTCTCCAGAGCTGAGTCTTCTTCTGGTTTTGAAAGGAGCTGTGGGGAGGGGGGTAGGACTGCAGGCACAATAACAACTTCATTAAAACAAAGCTGTTAAAGTCTCAACAGTGTCCCTTTAATACTAAACACCACCTCCTTATGCCTATTTCCTCAATATATATGATCCCATCTATCTGATTATGAGGACATGGACTATTATTTTTATATAGATCCCTTTGAGAATGAAAAAAATTATACCATCCACTATACCGAGCTCTGAGTTGCTCTAAAAGTAGCGACTATTTGGAGCTTCATTTGGAATGCCAACATGTTGAACAAAAGCTTTAGACAAGGAGATAGTTTAGATTCATAGCTGGTGTTGCTAAATAAAAAGTAGAGTAATTTCAGAAAGCAATCACCATGGGAACTAGCATAGCCACGATAATTGCTCCACGTTTAAAACTTTTTTTACTTGAAATATATCCTTTAAATGTCCCTATAGTGTGAGCCGGGCACCAATGGAATTCATTTTTCCAGTGCCATCCACAGTAGTTTTCATCATATTCTCACTAAGGAATAGCAAGACTTTGTCATCACACATCTAAAATATTAATTTCTTCCGGTGGTGAAAAAGTCACCTTCAGCCCCCACCATCTAAAATTCGCCTTTGAGCCTAAAGTGTATTTATTTTTCAGTGACAGAATCTACGATCTGCAAATACTTCTGCATCTCAAGTGGGCTTTGTCGATATTTAATTTGTAAATCTGGCAGCCTGACCTTAGCACAGCAACCAACGTCTTAAAGTTCTTAGAAAGGACATTTTTAAATGACAGGACTTAAAGATCAACTACAGTATTGTTTCTGAAATGTCATGTGTTAACCAATTTCTGATGTCCAGACCTTATATTGCTCTGACTTTCCTCCCTGCTGGCTGTGTTTCTGTGATTTATACTCGTACAATCTCATAGTGTTACTAACTTTTTTACTGTGTATTTTTGAGCTTAAAATAATGTCTAGAATGGTTTAACAACAGCTTTTAAAACATGGCAAAAATAACATGTTTTCCAGGAGTATTGAAATAACTAGTGCAAATTATGCAAACATACAATTTTGTGCACAGTTAAATTATGTTTCACCCACACTGAAAGTATTATATTAAATTAGGAAAATAATGCCATTCCATGTTGGACTGCGTGTCCTAAAAAGGGACACTTGGTTAGTGTTAATATTACAAACTCTACAGAGGGACTTTGTGTCCTAAACAGGGACACTTGGTTAGTGTTAATTTTACAAACCCTGAAGAGGGACTGTGTGTCCTAAACAGGGACACTTGGTTAGTGTTAATTTTACAAACCCTAAAGGGGGACTGTGTGTCCTACACAGGGACACTTGGTTAGTGTTAATGTTACAAACCCTAAAGAGGGAGTGTGTGTCCTACACAGAGACACTTGGTTAGTGTTAATGTTACAAACCCTAAAGAGGGACTGTGTGTCCTACACAGGGACACTTGGTTAGTGTTAATGTAACAAACCCCAAAGAGGTACTGTGTGTCCTACACAGGGACACTTGGTTAGTGTTAATATGTTACAAACCCCAAAGAGGGACTGTGTGTCCTACACAGGGACACTTGGTTAGTGTTAATGTTACAAACCCTAAAGAGGGACTGTGTGTCCTACCCAGGGACACTTGGTTAGTGTTAATTTTACAAACCCTAAAGAGGGACTGTGTGTCCTACACAGGGACACTTGGTTAGTGTTAATGTTACAAACCCTAAAGAGGGACTGTGTGTCCTACACAGGGACACTTGGTTAGTGTTAATGTAACAAACCCCAAAGAGGGACTGTGTGTCCTACACAGGGACACTTGGTTAGTGTTAATATGTTACAAACCCCAAAGAGGGACTGTGTGTCCTACACAGGGACACTTGGTTAGTGTTAATGTTACAAACCCTAAAGAGGGACTGTGTGTCCTACACAGGGACACTTGGTTAGTGTTAATGTTTTTTTTATTTTTTATAATTCTTTATTTTTGGTATGCAGGTAGTTACAACAGTGCATGTGTCACCACAACAGCATTGGCAGGCTCAATTTTCATAGACATATGATGGCAATATTGTGTCAAGGTGGACATGCATACAGTTTTTTTTAAGTGAAAAAGGTAACGATACAGCAAACAAGTTATTAACAATATGGTTTAAGCTAAGTTAGTGCGACTAGCTTGAGGCCTCGTGGTATGCTTATGAGAAAACAATACTGTACAATTCGCTTGTCGTTTCCTAAAGCGTACAGCTTATGGCTAACAAGACAGGCTAGGCACATTCTGATTAAACATAGTGAGTTAATTAGTGATTATAGTGAGTGTCATCGCTGTATATTATATGAAAATCTCAAGCTATGAAACAGCGTTTTTGTTAAGCTAGACAAGTATAGAGCATTGCGAATTGCGCCTAGGGTGTAAAGCAGGCTAGCTGTTTAAAGGTATGCGCATTTAAAACAAGGAAAAAAGTTATCAACAAGCACATTTTTACATTAGAAACATCAGGCTTTAACAGGGTAGTAAACATAGGTTGTGCTGGCTGACTATGTGAGTGAGAAGTATAAGATGCCGTGTGGAGATAGAAGGTAGGTGGTCAGTTGCCTGTTTTAAGTCCCCTTTCATGAGATCAGTTCACCCAATGCCTGCTGATGGCAGGGTACCTTCCCCGAAAAGCGTGCTCTCAGGGGAGTTGTATGCGTGGGCTTCCAGTTTGGCTTTCCCACTCTTGTGTGCTAAGGAATCAGTGCGTGCGCCCGGGTACCAAGAGTCTCTGGGCCTCAGTCCAGTTTCGGCCATGCTCTGCAGGGATTTTGTATGCGTGGCGGCGTTGCATGCGACCATGTCCCTGTGGTGCTGTCTGGCGTCTCGCTGGTTCGAGATGTTGTGCTCGGGTGAGTTGCTGGAGCATACAGTTTGCCCGGCGGTCTCGCTCTGTTGAGAGAGGGAGCGGGTACGTGCGCCCTCGTGGTGAGGCTCTGCCACGCACCTTGTCGACTTTCGGCGCCTGTTAGCCGCTTGGAAGGTCTGAGGTAGCAGTCCATAGTGGCGCCTACGGGTAATAGGTCGAATCCACGAGGCCACTGTGTGGGCCGCTCGTTGGTAGGGTATTCCCCTGCCACATAGTGTCATACAGAAGCTTAGGCAAAGCCGGTCAAGTGCTTCCAGGGAATGAAAGGGTAGGTAGTTGCCCGCCTTCTTCTTCCTTGTACCATGCTGGGCGGCCATCTTGGATGTGCCTCGGTTGTTTCCTGCACTAGCAGGCTGTGTGGTAGAGATTACTTGTTTGCTGTCTTGGTCTGCTTGTCTAATGGGGACCAGGATGTCCCCCCCGGTCCAGAGGTGGGGGGGGTAGGTAGTCAGCAGAGTTTCCCAGGGGGTCTGGTATCGGAGAGAGCGGCCGCCTCTCCCCAGCTTCCACTCCAGCAGGCCGTAGTCGGCGTTTCTTTTGTTTGGCTCTGGAAATGTATCACCCGATACCAGAGTGCACCCCCGACGTGGGTGGTGCCCTCTTGTGTGGTCTTTGGGCTTCGTTTTTGCGGTTTGTGCCAATTTTGTTGCCCGCCTGACTGGAGCTCCTGTCCCCCACGTCCGTGCAGCTTGGTGGTCAGACTCCGCCCCTGGTTAGTGTTAATGTTACAAACCCTAAAGAGGGACTGTGTGTCCTACACAGGGACACTTGGTTAGTGTTAATGTTACAAACCCCAAAGAGGGACTGTGTGTCCTACACAGGGACACTTGGTTAGTGTTAATGTTACAAACCCCAAAGAGGGACTGTGTGTCCTACACAGGGACACTTGGTTAGTGTTAATGTTACAAACCCCAAAGAGGGACTGTGTGTCCTACACAGGGACACTTGGTTAGTGTTAATGTTACAAACCCTAAAGAGGGACTGTGTGTCCTACACGGGGACACTTGGTTAGTGTTAATGTTACAAACCCTAAAGAGGGACTGTGTGTCCTACACGGGGACACTTGGTTAGTGTTATTGTTACAGACCCCAAAGAGGGACTGTGTGTCCTACACGGGGACACTTGGTTAGTGTTAATGTTACAATTCATGGTGTAGAGATATAAATGAAGTGCTGAATGTGTATAAAGGGAAGCATGTCCCATACATTTAATATTTAATATTAATAATAGAGTATTATTGCTCAGTGGCAGCCATTATTGGATTAACCCATTTCCTGCCCTCTTTATGGCCCATCCCCCGGTCACTCCCCATGCTGTCTCGGGCTCTGGGTATAACGGATTTACTGGTCCCCGTGGTGTCAGCCCGCCCCGCTGTGGGTGGAGGCCGAGGCCTTGCTACATCCCGCAAGCCGGGGCCTCGAGTACCCCCAGCCCCCGGGTTCCTGCACGGGTAAGCCAGCCTGACCTGGGAGCAATACCCCGCCACCATGTAAGGCAAGCAGCAGCGAGTAGGCCATAGAGGACACCCCACTAACACGGGTCTGTAGGTGGGAATAACGATATCATTCCCATCATCCTCAGCCATCCAGGGCATGATGGGAATTGTAGTCCACCATACCTAGACTGACTACAGTTACAGTTAGCATGACCTGAGCAGGTATATCAGGATTCATTGTATGTATCTGTGCAGGCCACAATTAGTACAATTTATATTATTATTATTATTATATCCCAGGTTCTTACTTGTGTTTTTGTCTTACTTTTTATTTTAAACTTTTTAAATAAGGTATGTAAGAGCTACTTGTGTTTTTATTTATTTTTTTATTGTTTTTTTTTTTTTTAGGTAAACCTGAATGGACTTTATGTTATAGCTGCTGATAATCTTCCTCCCAGAATAAAATGTATTCATTTTAAAAGACCATCTTTGGGAGTGAGAGTTAATGAGCTGTATATGAGCTGATTGATGTGTTATGGCGTGATTTAATGGTACAGGATACATGTGATGAGCCTACCAGTGACATGAAGTACATAATGTCCCTAATACGGTAAAAGTGTATTTTATTATTTGCCATTTCGTTCAGGTGTGATTAAGTGGCACAATAACTCCAAATAATAAAATAGACTTTTACCCCCACATTCCGGGTAAGACAAATACTATATGAGTTAGTTATTTTGCTTAAATCACACCTGAAGGAAACCGCAAATAATAAAATACACTTTTACCCATTATACTATCTTTATTATAATAATAAACTGTTTGCAATACATATCTTTATTTACGGGCTGAAGTTGGGTGTTTATAAACTGGAATTAGAAATTCCCATTTCCACTGGACACACATTTTATGCCCCACAGTATAATTAATGTAAATATTGCCATAAGAAAATGATCACAGAGGAATTCTGCAATGCATAATACAGGGCATCACATTTCATGCACTGCCCCAATGTGTATCCAGGAAAGCAGACCAGTTTGGCAATCCTACATGGGATAGTGTTTTAGCACCTTCATTGTGCTTCCTGTAACAAATGTGTAGACAGGAATACATTTTATTTAACAGATTACCAATTCAATAGTTTGAGCAGTTCCAGAATGCTACCCATTATTTTATGAGCGTATGACAGGATCAGACCAAAACAAACACTGCTGTTTAAATGTTAATCTGAATGTTATCTTTGATTATCCAGCAGGGGGAAAGCAAAAACCACCTCCAAGGCAACAAGACAGAATTAAACAGAGTCTGTAGCAACCGTCACATATTTACTACTAAGGCAAAAGGAGGAGTGACTACTTGTGAGCTACCCTTGTAGCCTGACTTCTACCTCCATGCTTTGACCTGTAAGTACATTCATTATTTATGGCTTGATATCGTTTTGGCGCTCATTGAATGTACTGCATATACAGGGGAGACTGTCCTGGATGTAAGAGGGGCACCTATCCTCTGTCCAGTTCTTTTTCCAATTTTGCCTACGTATTCCCTTATTTGAGCCAAAATATTTATTGTAAATAATAGTTCTAAAGCGCCAACAAGTTCAGCAGCGCTGTTCAATGGCTGGACTAACAGACACGTATTTGTAACCAGATGAGTTGGAAGCACAGGAACAGAGAGGTTTGAGGACCCTGTTCAAATGAGCTTACATGCTAGAGCAGGGGTAGTCAACCTTTTAATACCTACCACCCACTTTTGTATCTTTGTTTATGGTAACATTTTCTTATCACCCACCAGTGCTGCAGTAACTAATTTTATAGTGCAAGGAGGATTTTTTTCGCTCTACTTTTTTGTGTGTGTATGACATGTGCTGTGTGTAATGGGGCTGTGAGGGCAGTGTGTGTGTGTGTGTGTGTGTGTGAAGAGTGCATAGGGTCTATGCTGTGTGTAGGTGGGTGAGATGTGAAGATGCGTGCTATGTTTTTGAGATAGACGTGGCAGGATTTGGCAGAGAGGTTGGAGAAAACACCTAGGCAGCGAGTCCGCTAGGTAGAGCTGATGGTAGTGCCATTGACATTAGAGGGAGACCGACATGGGAGTAGCAACACTAGAGGGAGGAAAGACAAAAAGTTCTGTTTTGCACAGGTTACATTTACGTGAACAGCCATCCTGTTAGAAATAGCTGAGAGACAGTCAGAGAAACAAGTCAAGAGAGACTGCGAGAGATCAGGAGAGGAAATTTAGATTTGCTTGTCATAGTAATGATATTGGAAGCCAAAGGAGCTGATGAGTTTACAAAGGGAGACAGTATAGATCGACAAGAGTAGTGGACTAAGGACAGAAACCAAGATTATGGAGGATGAGAAGTTGTTGATCAAAAGTGTCGAAAGCAGCTGAACGGTCAAGGAGAATTGGGATAGAGTAGTGATTTATGCAGCAATCAAATCATGGAATACTTTGGTCCGGGCCGTTTCGATAGAGTGACGAACACAGAATCCAGATTGAAGTGAGTCAATCAGAGAGTTGGATTCAAGGAAGTTAGTTAATGTCACACACACAACTCTCTCAAGGATCTTGGTGGCAAATAGTAGGGGGTTAATTGGGTATTTGGGGTCAAAGTTGGGCTTTTTTAGACTTGGGGTTACAGTCGCCTGCTTGAAGGATGACAGAAATAGGCCAGAGGAGAAGGAGAGATTGAATATTTTAGTGAGGGACAGAGCATGAATAAGATGAGAGGGAAAAGGTGGTGGGGCGTGAGGGGCAGAGCAGAGTGGAAACCTTTTCTGACATAGCTGGTTCGAGTGAGCATAGAACAGCAGAGTGAGTGGGGTTGGGGGAAGTATTGATAGGGGAAGGAGAGAGATTCGAAATCTTTTCTGCCGTTTTTTTTTCCTGTTGCATTTTGTTTGTTTTTCTTGTTCACAAACTTGTTGCTTCCAGTCTATTAAACATAAAAAAAGATGTAGATGTGCCTTTTCTTTTCAAAGTAATTGTCCACTACTGTTAGAGTAGCGGTATTGTTGTAACCGGTAAACCCTTTTAATAAGCTTCTTTATTGTTTAAGAAATAAAAATCTTTCAAATTGCAAATACTAATAATAATAATAATTTGTCTTATTTGTGGATGTAATGGTGATCTCATAAAAAAGGAATATAAAGTAACAGAACGATGGATTATTTTGTTGTGAGATAAAGTCACCAATGTATAAAGGGTAGATTAGCATTTGTATACGTAAGAAAATGGTAAGCGTGCAAGTAACGGACACACAAGTGGAAGCAAATGCGTCAGTTTTCATACATAGCTTCCATTGTGTTCGTAGCTCATTTTGAGTTAGGTTGAGGCACAGGTTGAAAACCATTGCCATAGGTTACAGACAGAATGTCTAACAAACATTTTATTTGGGATTTTAATACTTTCTAGTCTAGAGCAGGTGTCAGGATGGAGAGTCTCTCTGTCTATCTTTCTGTGTGTGTGTGTGGATGGCTCTGTGCAAAAAATCTGAGACTTTGCATTTACTCGTATGACATTTTTCTGCAGACACCCATCCACATATGAGTTCTCCCAGAGTAATGTGGGGTGGCGATATCGCGCTGGACTTGATAGTAACGTAGAGGTTCTGCGTACCTCCAGTAAACGCTTCAATAGCACTTACTACGTCAAGACATTTTCTTGCCTATTAGAATTTCTCATAACGATATCACGTGTTTTTTGCTATTAGGATGTTTTAGTGTTTCTGTAACAGGACGGTTCAATCTGTTGGCCAGTGTTTATACATACATATCTCAAAAGCAGATTTTATTTACCAAATATATTTGTCATAGACCGATTACCATCATGTTGTGGGTGGGCTGCTCTTGCACTTTGCTGTTGTGGGTGGTTTGTCAGACTAATTCAGACACTGACCGACAGAAGGTCAGGTACCTGGTTAGTCTACCCCCCAAAGGGGAGATATGTGGCAAAAGTTACCTCGCCACTGGTTTTTGGAGGGGCCTGTTTGCCAGCCTCCTGCCCTGCGACTATGGCCCTGGGATGTATTGCCCTTCTAAGAACTGATGTGGGCATACTTGATTTTATTATGCTGCTGCTGGCCCTTTAAGAACCATCTGGGGACATACTGTGGAGTTACTGGGTGGCCACCATTTCATGTATCAGAGGCATATGGTGAGAACAATGGATGGCGGTCATTTTAACTCACAGACACTGTTTTGACTTTTCAACACGGTGCCATCTCGCCGGTATTTGGTGCACAAAGACATCGTGCAGTAGTTTTAAACTATACAACAGGGGACACATTATACAGTAATTATTTTTCATATAGCCTGTATATGTTCTGCAGAATCTGCATTAAACCGTATCTTCCAAACTACTGAACGGATCTGGGTGAATTTTGGATATGTGGTTCACCCAGATACCCGGTTCCGAGGATATACTTTTTTATGGGGTTATTGCATGTTTTGGGCTCCCTGTGATATGTTTTATAATACTGTATTTCTCTGCCTGTGATAATTATATTAACCATTGTGTTCAGTAATCATATCACAGGCAGAGGGGATGATGTTTGTGTGGGAGTGTCTGTGTTTATTGTACGGATTGATTGGTCTTATTTCAAAACCCTGTGGGCAGTACTATGTTTGTGGATTGTGAATAAAAGAGGCTGTATGTGCCAGTACAGGCAGTCCTGCTTGACCTCAAAACGAAGTGTCGTCTCGTTATTTGGGGAATTGGATTGTATGCTGATTGCCAGGAGTCTAAGATGATTGTATGCTTTTCCTGTTCAGCTGCTTACAGCATTCCTATGCTTGAGAGCATTCGTATGCTTCTCCGGTTCGGTGGTTGTGGTGTCTGCTGCAGTGCTTGGAGTCCTCAGGAAGCGCTAGGAGCATCCTTCAACGGAGGTACCCAGTCGGGGTGCCAGGTGATCCGTTACACATCATAACTCTTGGTGTCGATTTTGATCAACCTTCTCTGATGTTCCTCCAGCCTTTTTATTTATTTATTTTTTTTATCTTTAATGTTCTTTAGTAACTTTTGTAACTTTCAATATGTATTCCTATTATTTTGTTGCAGCATTTATCATGAATTATAGCAAAGAAATGTAGAAGTGGCGCTAGCGGATAGAGTAAGTGAACGGTGCTGCTATACCCAAGTATATCACCACTATATATACTTAAAGAGGATACAATAAAACATAAAAAAGGTAAAAGCGCACACACACACCAAGGAGGTGGTTTACCTGACGTATAGTAAATGGTAGGTATCTCCTCCTTATATACAGTAAGTATATTAAATATTGAATTACCTATACAGAAAATATAAACACAAAACAAAACATAGTGTAATCTGTATATCGTACACGAAAAGACTGGAAATTCTGAGTTGGAAACACTCACACTTTGATGAGCCGTTTAAAGTAGGCTCGGAACTTATACGGCTTTTATGTCACTTAAACGGGACATACACATTTCCTTTACTTTTCAGGCATTTTCTCCATTGATCTTAGTAGTCCTCTGTAGTAAAATAGGAGTCAGGAGCCAGGAGTATCAGGATAAAATATTTATAATAAAACAAAAATAAATATAAAGAAAGATAATTTTTGTTTTATTATAAATAAATATTTTATCCTGATACTCCTGGCTCCTGACTCCTATTTTACTACAGAGGACTACTAAGATCAATGGAGAACCTGCCTGAAGAGTAAAGGAAATGTGTATGTCCCGTTTAAGTGACATAAAAGCCGTATAAGTTCCGAGCCTACTTTAAACGGCTCATCAAAGTGTGAGTGTTTCCAACTCAGAATTTCCAGTCTTTTCGTGTACGATATACAGATTACACTATGTTTTGTTTTGTGTTTATATTTTCTGTATAGGTAATTCAATATTTAATATACTTACTGTATATAAGGAGGAGATACCTACCATTTACTATACGTCAGGTAAACCACCTCCTTGGTGTGTGTGTGTGTGTGTGTGTGTGTGTGCGCTTTTACCTTTTTTATGTTTTTAATTTATCATGAATTAATTTGCCTCAGCCTTAAAGGACCACTCTAGGCACCCAGACCACTTCAGCTTAATGAAGTGGTCTGGGTGCCAGGTACCTCTAGGATTAACCCTTTTTTTTTTATAAACATAGCAGTTTCAGAGAAACTGCTATGTTTATACTGAGGGTTAATCCAGCCTCCAGAGCCTCTAGTAGCTGTCTCATTGACAGCCGCTAGAGGCGCTTGCGTGCTTCTCACTGTGAAAATCACAGTGAGAGCATGCAAGCGTCCATAGGAAAGCATTGTAAATGCTTTCCTATGCGACTGGCTGAATGCGCGAGCGGCTCCTGCCGCGCATGCGCATTCAGCCGATGACGTCGCGAGCAAGGAGGAGAGGAGGAGTACAGCTCCCCGTCCGGCGCTGGAGAAAGGTAAGTGTTTAACCCCTTCCTCTCTCCAGAGCCCGGCGGGAGGGGGTCCCTGAGGGTGGGGGCACCCTCAGGGCACTATAGTGCCAGGAAAACGAGTATGTTTTCCTGGCACTATAGTGGTCCTTTAAGATGATTAAGTAGATTTTGGTTTACCTACAACATGATTGGTAATGAAGCATACAGATGTGCACCATATAGGAAGTCACTCAATCCATCCATCCATTCCCTACTTCTCACCAACACCCCTTTGGCTTTAGAAAGTTAAAACTGGATGATTTGTATCTCTGTTCAAGCTGGGAATAAGCTGCTATATACTTTTGTAACTGCAGCTTTAGACATAATTTGTCCTAAGCAAAAAGTCCTTGAATACAATTTTGGAATGCATCCCATTAAGCCTGGTGCTCATAAATACAATTTGTACTGAATGAAATGGCACTTGAACTAAGTGCTGTTATAGATATATATGCATATGTCATTATCAGTAAATGCAAGATTTATGGTCTAAGAACCTATTGCTGGATTATACAGAAAGTTTTACGGGGTTTTCAGTGACATTACAGAATCTAAAGTTTGATATAATACTTCCTTGGCGTGTATTAATATTGCTTTTATTTATGTTTAAACATTTCAATGGTAACGATATGAGCATTTAAAGGGACACTATAGTCACCAGAACAACTACAGTTTATTGAATTTGTTCTGGTGTGTAGAATCATTACCTTCAGGCTTTTTGCTGTAAACACTGTCTTTTCAGAGAAAATGCAGTGTTTACATTACAGCCTAGTGATAACTTCACTGGCCACTCCTCAGATGGCTGTTAGAGATCCTTCCTGGGTCATGGCTGCCTAAAATGCATCCAAACATTCAGTGTCTCCTCCCTCTGCATGCAGACACTGAACTTTCCTCATAGAGATTCATTGATTCAATTCATCTCTATGAGGAGATGCTGATTGGCCAGGGCTGTGTTTGAATCATGCTGGCTCTGCCCCTGATCTGCCTCTTTGTCACTCTCAGCCTATCCTATGGGGAAGCATTGTGATTGGATCAGGCTACCACGTCTGATGATGTCAGCAGGCTGCTTGTTTTTTTTGTTTTGTTTTTTTCAGGCAAACAGCATGCAGATCTACAGCTTCTGGCTTGAATACAGTAAGATTTTGCTATATTTATGGAGGCCTGAGGGGCCTTAACACTATAGGGTCAGGAATACATGTTTGTGTTCCTGACCCTATAGTGATCCTTTAAAAATGTATGCATCTTAAAGGGACACTGTAGGCATTGTAACTGTTTCATTTAATTGAAGTGGTTATAGTATTAGGTGTCCCCTGGCACTGCACTTTAATTCAGTGTTAAGCCATTTTCTAATATTTTAATGTTAAACAAGAGTCCCCAACAACTCCTCTCCTCCGTGTAACTTGGAGTAATGAGAATGTATTAGCCTGAGCAACAATGTGTGGCTGTGATTGGCTGGAAGAGTCTGCTGATGGTTTGAGCCTGTCAAAGTGCCCACTGCTATGAATCGGTATGGCTAAAAGGAAGTGCGTAATCTCTGCCTTAGCAATACCTCCACAAGGGACTCTCATTCAGTGTGAAACTTCTTGAAAATGGTTTAACACTGAATGGAAGGAAAGTGCAAGGGGACTTAAGGCACTATAACCAATTCAATCAGATGAAAAATGCCTACAGTGTCCATAATCCAATAATCATTGATCTTTGGCAACATAGGCTCTCAATTCTTGTATTCAATATAGTGTCAATTATAGTATTGCTTAGTGCGGGCATGATCCTGTGTGCAAAATGGAGGTACAGAAGAGATTTGAACAAATGGCATGGCCTTAATGGGAGTTGCTGCTATGGCTATTTTATTTAAAACTGTATTCATCCATTTACTAACGTTGCATATATTAGAGTAGTCTTATTCATTTCACCTTTGTGGAGGCTTACTCTCAGTCCATCACATTGTGGTTTTTTTTTTTATTCGTTTGTCAGTCTAGACTTTTAACTCCATATTTAAATCAATATCCACCCTTTTGATCATAATTGTCTGAAGCATTATGAAAAGCTACACTGTTTTGAATGTACACATTTGAATACATTTTCTGTTTGTTTCAAAATGTAAGTTATAGTCAGCAAAAGCATAACAGGACATTCTAAACATCATGTCTAGCAGAACTTATTACTGTGTTTATGGTGTAAGGAGGTTTATGTAGAGGCCTGCATTTTTTTTTTTTTTTTGGATTTGTTTTTTATTTCTTTCCCCAAATAGCGATTTTACAACATTCAGGTCTCGCAGGCTATCATTGCCATCTAAATTTGGACGAATAATGATTGATATTCCTGGTTATATCTGTAGTAGCAATAGGGCCTTTCGGTTCCTGTAGAGTTGTGGATTTTGTTGTTTCATTCAAAAATTGTTTAGACAGAAACCAAAATGACTGTACCCATATCCTCCTGTCACTAACTAGTACACTAAGCGGTAAGGGTTACGGTGTTTAGAGTGTACCTTTAAATCACTGTGTATTTCATGGTATGCAGATTTTGCATTATTTGGGACGTGGTGTAATTTTACATAAAACTTGTATTCTCCATAAATGTTAGGTTGCTTCTAAAACTATATATAAAACGTTAGAGTCCTAGAAGGGTTTCCAGTGATGCTTTATAAACAACCATGCAGTGTGGGATTAGAAACCTCTGCTATTTTTGGCATGTAGACATCCTGGTTGTCTGTGTGGCTGCCATTTTTATTCTAGCCATTAATTCATTCTTTAATCTGTTATGCAGGGCATTACATTGTCGCCCAGGATGTAGAATTAATATTGTTGTATCGTGGAGCATGTAGCAGTATCCATATCTCTAAATGCCTGCACCTTTTGGTGTAAATACAAAATATTTCTCTTGTCAATCCTGAGTTTTGCTCTGTTATATTCATTATTTCAATTGTTTGTTAAATTCTCATTCTATGTTTATTTTGTATAATTTGTTTATAAAGGGTGGCCAAGCAGATGATTATATGGTGTAACATATTTGTATTCTGCTGACAACAAGCTAGTGCTTTTATTTTGAATACTCTATTATTTTTTTTATAAATCAGCTAAAATGCGTTTTTGTCATGGAAATTGGAAAACACCCGGTCCTGGATCTGTTGTAGGGTGATTACTTTTCCGCCCCAGTGTTTTTTAATTTTTTTAATTCTGATAATCCATGCTACTTAGACTCTTCACTCCTGACAAACACATGCTTCGAAATAAGTCACAACTTAATTGTTGTACAAAGCAATGTAATCATTTGTAATTGAATTGTCACAAATGCAAATGTTATCTGCTTGACATTTTCTACCAGTCCTGTGTCTTTTCTAATTATCTTTATTAAAGTCAGTTTACAAAGGGAATGTTTTACAATTAAACCCTAGTTTGTTACACTGCATGGCATTTACCTCTGATAGCCTTTTCTCCTAGATCTTGAAGTGTAATTATTTTTTTTTTGTTTTTTTTTTGTGTATCCCCTCAAGAGAGTTGTTCAAGAACATACGTTTGAACAAGTGACCCAGCTACAGGCAGAGAATGCAAGAACAGGTTAGAGATCACATATTCTGCTGCTATTGTTGTTTAATGACAAACTAGATTATGTAAAAGAAAGTCCAAGGGAAAGAAAAATTTTTTTTTCTTTTTTTTTTTTTCTATTGAATGAGAAGTGGTCCGGATTATGTTTATTTCCTCATGTTTACGGCCACAGACACCTCCAGTACTAAGGAAAGTAGACAGCTCAATTAGACTTTAATTAACAGTAAGTGGTTTTATTGCAAAGACTTTAAAACGTGTAAATGGTTGATGTAATTGAAGTGGTCAGCTGTTTGCACTGGGATGCGGCAATCTTCATTATTTTTCAGGTATTTAGTTAGTTTAATCCTTTACAGCCTCAGAGATCTCACCTATTATTTATTTATTTTTTTAATTGTTTTTCTTTGTAGAATCACGTGGGACGCTCTCAGAATAAAGTGCTGTTGCAAAATAACACTTCCTACATGACCACTAAGAATTACGAGCGACCCACCATAGCCTCGAAATCTCGTTCTCCATCCCCGTATACGAGGAGGCGTATGTGTGAGCTGTCTGAAGATGCACGGCAAAGGCTGGCCCATCTAAATCTCGGTCCATACGAATTTAAGAAGGAGACTGATAGCAAGCCTCCATTTGTGGTCAGACATGTATGTTTATCAAGTGTTGTTTTTTTCTGTTCCTCGTGACATCTGTTTGTTAGTACATGTGTTGAAGATTGTGTATTTGTTTCCTGTCCATGTACAAATTCTACATTCTGTTGAGTACTGACTGCAGCCACCATGATCAAATTTGTTAATTATTTTTTCTTGGCTGGCTTATGCAGGGCACATATCGGTGAGCAGAACTTATATTTTCTTACAAGTTAAAAAATCCTAACTCTAGTTCTTACACACTTCATTCTCGCTTGTGCAAGACTCCATATTGATGCTGATGCAATATAAACATTGTGTTCCATATTGGCACAGGTGCATTTAAGGGATATTCTTGGCAGGAAAAATGCTTAATGATATATATGTGTAAAAATATTGTCCCATAAAAGGTCTGTTGGTGTGTACAAGCGAACCTGAAAAGGGGATAACCCTTAATTTTGACAATTAGAGAAAGTACACAGGTGCCCAGAGGAAAAAAAAAAAAATCCAATGGCCAGAAAAGGTTCTTTTAAAAATATAGCGCTTATATAATGTTAAAAACAATTCATTTATTTTAATTGTAAGGAGAAAAGACATATAACGTATAAAGAGCCACAAACAAATAAAGGCTCTTTATACAGATAAGTTGGGGGATACTCTATATTAGACTGGATGTGATGTTGACTGAGGATGATAGGGATGGGAGTTGAAAAACCTAAAACGGTTTATATGTCCATTGCAGTAAGCCACTTGTGGCTGTCATAAAAGGCAATATAAAGCCATGTAAATCATCACCAGATTTCTGGGTAAAGCTGCATTGAATCTAAATGTATACACACAAACTGCCAACGGTTTGTAAAGTGCAATTGACCATTCTTGAAACTCTGTTGTGATACAAATGATTTGCACACCTATGCTATAAAAAAGGTATTGCATCTCACTGTCTTGGACCTTAGAAGGACATAGGCAAGATAGAGCTAAACTCGAGAGGCAGCAATTGCCCAGAGCACCTGCCTTGCAAAGACTTCTCATTGAGCTGCATTGGGAGTCTGTGATTGGACAGCCACAGAAAGTGTGGGCTAGGGAAGAAAGGGAGGGCTTGCAGTAAGCCAATATTTCATATACCTCCAAAGAAAAAATGCAGAATTAAAGGACATTCATATTTTCTCTGGGGCTATATCTACTAAATTTGGTGCCTTCAAAAAATAAAAATGTATTTATTTATTGGAGGACAGCTGAAAGTGAGGTGAGGGGGGTGAGGGTGCTGGGGGGAGGAGGTTGGAGAGTGCCCTAAAGAGTAAAGATTCTGAAGGATTTTTATCTAAATGTTGGATGATCTTCTGGTAACAAAGCCATATGATAAATAGGGAACGTGATCAACCAAGCGTGCGTACATTTCTTAGTACAGACAGATAAAACTGTGAGTTATACACATACAATAAAGCTTAAAAACAAGCATTGTGGAACACAGACATTTTCTACATTTACCGTTCAGACAAGATTTTCATCAACCCCTAGTTCTATGCGTTTATCAATGTATCTTTTTATAATTTGTATTTCTTCTCTCAGTAGACCTTTTTTTTTACTCCAGTAACATACTGTTATTTGTATGTTTTTAAGATGAAAACATTCAGTATTCCTCATGACACTTCATTTACCTTGCACTCGCCTAAAGGCAGTAGAAGACCAGAAGAATGGGACGTAGAGTACAACGGTGAGTGCTTTCTCGCATGTTTCGATGTTGTGCTTATAATACATTTTACACAGAGGCTTACACCAAAATGTAAGGTCATTCCATGCCGTCCTAACTGCATGAAAGCCCACTATGGCTAGGATGTCGTGGAATGTCCTAGTCGCGTTATATGATTACGGCACCCCAATCTCCATGCTGGATAATAGTTTTTGTACCCACTTTGACTGCAGCCACAATTTGGTTATAGGGGGAGGTGATGGAAAATAGATGTTTGGGCGGTGCACTCGCTGGTGTCTGATGACATTGAAAAAGCTCTGTCTGTTCTTCTCTGACCTGTTCCATTATTATTTGCAGAGGCCACTGTTATATAATGGTGCATGGTATTAGCAGGAATGGGAGATCTTCTACTCGCTGTGAACTCAGGGTATAAGTAGTTTTGCGTTGGGCCCATAGGTACCTTGCTACCAATAGGTTCCTGGGAAGAGCATAAGGGCTGATTGGCCATTGTGACTATGAACTGTGATATATCCATTTCTTTAAACATCTATTTTTACACCCCTGTTGTGAAACCCTTCAGTAAGCTGTGAAATTGGTGTTGAAAGGATCTTTAATTGCGTTGTTTTCCAATGAAGTGAAAAGGCATGTTTCTGTGATAATTCTTCCCTTGCTAGACTGATGCACACTGTATGGATGAAAATAATCACCAGCTGTCCAATATGATTGTTTACGAATGCTCACTAATAATATGTTGCAATTTCAAAGGCTATGAGAAGGATACAGGCTTTATTATGAATCAGAACATGTGAGCTTACAAGATCGATCTCTCATCATTTTTTTTTTTTTCCTTCTGAATAAATTCCATACATATCCACATTCTTACAAAATAAATAAAAAGTAGATTGCAGCTTCGCTCCTGAAGTGAGTCATAACTACACTATGTAGTCAATAAATGTCTCCTTTCCTTCTTTTTTATTTTTATTTTTTTTATGTATATATTTTTCTTCCCTTTTGTGTGGCACCTTAGAATGAAATAAAGCTTCTCAATATTTCTCAATGCTTTCCTATGGACGCTCTGTGCGATGGATGCGAAATTCGCATCCAGCGTCGCAGATGTGCCTCTAACGGCTGTCCGGAAGACAGCCACTAGAGGTTGGCTTAACCTCTAATGTAAACATAGCAGTTTTTCTGAAACTGCTATGTTTACATGTGAAGGGTTAAAACCTGAGGGACCTAGCACCCTGACCACTTCATTGAGCTGGGTTACTATAGTGTCCCTTTAAAGCACACCATGAAGGCCATGTTGCAGTCCATCCTTGTGAAGTTGCTGCATGTCAATACTTTTTAGGTATCTTTATATTACATACTCTATCTGTGTGAGCAGAGGATGTCATGTTGCTTGGTAGAAATCTATGGCAAAAGTATATCCCTTACTGTAAACAAGATAAAGTGTTACCAATACTGAAATTATATTAAACAAATAAAACCTTTTTTGCAGATCCATCTTTAATTGGCAGCTACAGGCCTGTGTTCTCTAAAGTAAGTATTGCATCGTTTATCTTGTGTATTTTGATCTATTATTATTTTTTTATTTTTTTTTTTTATATCCACGAGATTAGATTGTAAGCTGCCAAAAGAGGGCACCAAATCCTATTTTGACAATATGCACCTTGGAAAATGTTGTTGAAGCAGTTTGACAAAACTCAGGGCTTCCATCCTATGGCTAGGCCCCTTAGTTGCAGTTTGGTTAATCCTGAAGTGGACTTCTACATTAGTTTTTAAATATTAAAATGTATTGGAGTGCACCCGCCAGATCCAAGACTCTGCTGAATCAGAGCGCTGCCTGCGAAGTTGTCAGTCTGATGCTGATGTCCACGTCGTCCTTCTCCAAGCTGCAGCAGAGGGCCTGTAAGACCTGGATTTTGTCAAACTGCTGAAAGGCAACTTTACACTAATATGGGAGATGGCACCAAATATTCTTACAATGGCAAAATAACCTCTACAGTCAGCTGTAATGGTTATGGTGTTTCCAGTGCCCTTGGAGTTCACTTTGGACGGATTGACTATAAATATAACGTAGGAACGCCCATTCCTCTTGAAGCATGATAAATCAAACAAAAAAAACCACACCTTTGGGGCTACCAGTGTTGCCTTCAATACGAGCAATTACACCGACCGTTAACTCTAGCACTTGTAATAAAATGAATTCTCTCCGTCCTGGAACCATACGTGTCTAACACAATTCATAATTTATTTATTTTTAAAAATTTTTTAGTACTTAGTTCTGTTTTATTCCTATTTGTGTTTTACCTGTTTCACATTAGAAGCATCATATCTCACCAACCTGAACAGCCCATGTTGGGTCATGTAAGACCAAATGTAAATGTGTAAATGTCCCATTATAAAAGTGACTGTTGGAACATACATCATTCTGCAAATTCCACTGTCACGTAGCTTTATTTTTTTTCTTCCTTTACTGTGAGTGTGTCTTATAATTTACTTTCCTTACACTGTCCTGATGATTCACACCAGTTTTATCAAGGAGATTTTAATTAAAATTGATTTGTTTGAAGGGGAAAAAAAATGATATTAGCAATAGGAACTTTTGGGCTCTGTAAGACAGCAATGGTTGGTCTTTAATTCATCACTCCCTGGATGCCCCAGAGCCGCTCCGCTTCCCAGCAAACTAAGTAGAGATTGAAATCTACCTTTATTAACAGCTGAAAACACTGCACAGCTTTGAAATTAAACGAAAACGTGTTTGGAATGAACTCTGTACCAAGAAAATTCACAGAATCAACAAATACACATAATATTTGGCGACATCAAGATATGGATGAATTTTTTCCCGAAGCCGTAAAATGCCAGATATCGATACACTGATGCTGGGTGATTAATGGATATTTTTGGATTCTTTTATCAGAACACAGAATCATAAAGAACATGAAAATCTAAATTACTTTTCTTATAATTTCCATTAATCTTGCCCAGTCACTGCCTTTAGTCAGAGATTAATATATATTATTTTTATTATTAATATAAAGTTACTTTGCTATAGTAGTCATCTTCAGTGCATTTCTCAAAGATCATATTGCACACCACATTTCCATGAAAGAACAAAATGTATATATATATTTTTGTTAGATGGAATCAGAAACCAGTTTAACTATGAACTGGGTTCAGCTGTGAATTGTCAGGAATTCAAAGTGAATTTCACATATTAGGATAAAGCTGCAGAGCTGAAAACATCTGTGATTTGGAGGATATTGCCAAGGCTGGCTATTATTGCTTAAAATTAGAATTTTATTATATAATTTATACTTCATTCTCCACATATCTTGCTTTCAGAGGATAACCCTGCCAGATGGTTTGTGACAAACAAATATAATTTACTGGCAAAACCATGAGCAAACATGTTTATTAATGGGAAACTATGGCATACAATACAGCTTTATTACATTTTTCATATAATTAATAATAAAAAAATAAATGATATATGTAACGCGCTATGGAAATCTAAATACTTATGCCACATTAGATTTCCATAGCGCGTTACTATGGTAACAATACACAATGATGTTATGTTTGGCCGCGTTTCTATGACGACGGCTGCACACACATGATGTCACGTTTGGGGGCGGAGTTAGCCTCGCACATGCGCACATTTCCGTGTTAGACACCGGTCACAACACAGAGCACCTGGGGTGAGTCTATTTACATTTTATTGATAGATATATATATATATATATATATATGTGTTTTGTACATTATCTGTATAATACTGATGAAAGTCCTCAAGTAGGACTGAAACGTTGATTCTTTTAACTAGACTGATTAAAAGTTATATTTTATGGAATCCGTGAGTGCAGCCTTCTATTACAGCCATTTGGATGTTTGGAGCCCTGGTAGTGCACCCGGTCTTGGAAATTGGAGTCTGATACAGTTGTTGTTTTTGTAATTGGGAGTGTGGGCTCATTCCACTCCATCCTATGCACCGACTATTTTTTGCTAGTGAATTGCTGTGACTAGTATCTCAGCATTCCTTGATTTAAAGCCATAGTAGCCATTCATTACAATGTTTTGTAAAAATATATTTTTTTTCATCATGGACGAATTTTTAGTGCAGGCGGGGGCATACTCTGAACAGGCAGAGACATTTAATTTTTCTAAAGAAGAAGCTATTATAGCACCAGTCCAGCTCAGAACTTCCTCATCATCTTACAGTATGTTGTTACGTCTCCATAGAAAACAAGTAGATTTGGACCTTTTCCTATCAGGCTATTACAAAGCCAAGCAAATCTCCAGGGGATTCAGAATTCTGAATGTTCCCACAATTGGAAGATCTAAAGCCACGATCTGCAGGAATTGGACACAAGTATTAAATAGAGCATCACTTGATTTAATGCTCATTATTCTAAAAGATGTAAAGACGGACCAAGTAGATACCAATCAAAAAATCCTTGATTTGGAGACAGAGCACGCAGTGCTTTTGGCTACGCCTGAAGGCCTAAGGGCTATACAAAAACTTAGAGAAGAAGTTCTAAAATACAAGACAGAACTTGAGAGAGTAACCCAAGATTACTTGGATCATAGGGTATATGGGTGGCTCACTGGTAATACTGGTGCCTATATACCAAGGAGGCAACGTAAGGATTCAACGGCCTAAGGTCCCAACGGTTGATATAACCTCGGGTGAATCAGCCTCTGATACAGATACTAATAATACTACACAAGACACCACAGCACTTTTTTTTTTTTTTAGGTCCACCGGAAGCAGGCACGGTAACCAGGAGCCGAAACAGAGGCGATGCAAACCAAGAACAAGGAGAGGCCATAAAGGGAAGAATGCCTGTGCAGGGGAAACCTCCACGCAGGAGATAATCCCCATATTCAACTTGTCCCACAGACCCCTTGATGCAGCAGAGATAGACCTACTCAGTAAAGGCCTATGATTTGTGCCTACATCAAAGTCAGATATATTTAAATGGAAGATTGAATTACATAAATTTGTGCGAGTTATGAGACTCAAGGAACATTTTTCTAATATAGCTGAACGCGGTATTGAAACCACAGATGTTTTTAGGGCCAAGTCTACTTTTGACCCTGTATCCAATAAAGAGTCCATCAAAACATTCCTCACCATGACAAATAGGGATGTCCAATCCCTTATGCAACAGAACAAAGTATGAAACACAATATCACTAAACAACAAGGAAAAATCATAAAATAATTATCTGAAGATCCATCAATTATCATCCGCTCAGCGGACAAGGGAGGTGGGATTGTCATTATGGACTACTCATACTATGCTAATGAACGTAAGACCCAACTATCTGACAGGACAACCTATGCATCATTGGATGAGGATCCTACTAGGAATATCCAGACTAAAATCGAGGATATTCTATCCATGGGTCTAAGAGCGGGCTATATTGACCTCACCAAACCATTCCCACGTACTCCTATTATACACTCTATCCCTAAGATCCACAAGGACCCCAATACACCGCCAGGACACCCCATAATCTCCGCCATCGATGGCATCTTGGTGGAGCCTATTGCAAAATGGCTTGATTACCTTTTACAGGGTCCAGTTGGGCAATTACATACCTGTATTAAAGACACTCAATCTCTCATAACCAACATCAATAAATTACGATACAGTGACCATAGACCAGTTCTAATAACCATGGATGTACATAGCCTATACACGGTGATTCCGCATGAAGCTGGTGTTAAAGCTATGCGACAGGTTTTAACTCGATCCACAGCCTATCATGGCCCCCCTATAGAATATACATTGGAACTACTCACTTTGACCCTACAGAACAACTATTTCCGATTTGAGGACAGCTGGTACCTTCAGGTGTCAGGTACATCAATGGGGGCGGCAATGGCACAGATGTACGCCAACGCCTACATGTATATCTATGAGGAAGAGTATATATTAGAGAAATACCAACACAATATATTGGCTTACTACAGATTCATCGACGATTTGCTCATTATATGGAGTGGAACAAGCGAATCAGCACATGAAATGGTTCATGACCTCAATCTTCTCCCAACACCTGTGAGATTTATTGCAGACATCAGCACCAAGAAAGTGCATTATCTGGATTTAGAAATCACATTGGGGGCAACAAGCCTACAGTATTCTCTATAAACAAAACCTATAGACAGAAATACACTTCTCCATTACCCAAGTGCACATCCCAGGGCTCTGAAAAATTCACTACCTAAGGCACTGTTCCTAAGAGTGATTAGGGACAATTCGGATATGGCAATTCTGAATACCCAGATCCTTGAAATGAAAAGCAAATTTCTACAAAGAGGCTATGGTAGGCACATCCTTGACATAGCGCTACAAGAAGCACGAAGTGCATGCGCTGTTGAAGTAAGGAATAAGCCTTCTAGTTTGGTTTTCCCAAAGCTATATCATCAATCCACTCTCCAAGTGGCATCGGCAGTCAGGAAGAATTGGAGGATATTTTCTTGCGATGACCCACTCCCAAAAGTATTTAAAGAAAAGCCATATATGTTATAAAAGGAACAGGAATCTGAAGGACGTTAGTCCATATGGACCCCTCCCAAAGTTATATGAAAACATCGAAGGAGCAAATAAGAGGGTCGGTTAGATGCCTTGGTTGCGTGACTTGTAGCCATATGACACCTGCAGGAACTTTCAGTCATCCTCATAACAACAGAAAATATACTATCAGATATACCATCACCTGTAAGACGACACATGTGATTTATAAACTATGTTGCCCTTGTGGCTTGTTCTATACTGGGAAGACGGAGACGGCCATCTGTGAACGGATCGGGGCCACAGATCGGCTATTCGACTGGCATACAGAGATAGCTGCTCAGACAAACCTGTTGCAAAACATTTCTTTGAATTAAAACATCCATTAGCTACATTAAAATTCCTGGCGATTGATCACATCCCTGCCCCCTAGGAGAAGGGGTGATCGGAGGAAGATGCTCCTGAACAAAGAGGCATACTGAATACACTAGTTGGGCACAGTGTCCCCAAAAGGACTAAATGAAGCTTTGTCTTTACACTCTTTTGTGTAGTTTGAACCCATACAGTCTTTATGTCCCCTAATGCTATTTATTTTAATGTTTTTTTTTTCTTTACGCTTTTCTTTCTATTAACTGCTGATTTAAAAAAAAAAAAAAAATTTGTGTTGTCCTCAGCTTAGAAGCAAGTATTTTAGGTATCAGGAACTATTTTAAGTGTTTAATACACAATGCCTGATATAATAATATTTTTAGCTAATATTCAGAATATGTATTCCTTAAGCGACAGATGTAAGTTTACTATCTAGTTTATAACCTTTTTTTCTTTGTGAATATAACAAGCCGTTGCAAGCTGTTTTATTTTAAATTGACATTTTTTGTTCTTTAAATTGATAATGTTGTTTTAATAAGGTGGCACAATACCTTATTCAGCACTAGAGCACTATATCACTTTAATAATTGTCACTTACATAGTCATAGCACTTTATATAGTGATGGATTTTGCACTAACACTTGAACAGCAGTAAGCACTTTACTTCCATATATTGTTTTCAACACATTATCTCTTATGATGCCCTTCGGTGTTTCACCACTCATATAATGCCTGTCCACACAATATTTTATAGTAACACTAGCATGTGTGATTATAAACTTAAGCCACATTAGATTTCCATAGCTCGTTACTATGGTAACAATACACAATGATGTTATGTTAGGGGGCGGGTTAGCCCCCGCACATGCGCTTAGGATAGAATCCTGATTGCAACACTTCATGTTTGGGCGCATTTCTATGACAACGACGCTTTTATGTCATGTTTGGGGGCGGAGTTAGCCTTGCACATGCACACATTTCCGGGTTAGATGCCGGTCACAACACAGAGCACCTGGGGTGAGTCTATTTACATTTTAAAGGACCACTCTAGGCACCCAGACCACTTCAGCTTAATGAAGTGGTCTGGGTGCCTGGTCCAGCTAGGGTTAACCCTTTTTTTTTTTTTTTATAAACCTAGCAGTTTCAGAGAAACTGCTATGTTTATATTAGGGTTAATCGAGCCTCTAGTGGCTGTCTCATTGACAGCCGCTAGAGGCGTTTGCGCCTTATGAATGCTTTCCTATGAGACCGGCTGAATGCGCGTGCAGCTCCTGCCGCACATGCGCATTCAGCCGAAGAGGAGGATCGGAGGCGGAGAGGAGGAGGAGGAGAGCTCCCCGCCTGGCGCTGGAAAAAGAGGTAAGTTTAACCCCTTTCCTTGCCATCCAGACCGGCGGGAGTGGGACCCTGAGGGTGGGGGCACCCTCAGGGCACTATAGTGCCAGGAAAACGAGTTTGTTTTCCTGGCACTATAGTGGTCCTTTAATGCTATATATATATATACACACACACACACTGTCTTTTGTACATTATCTGTATAATCCTGATGAAAGTCCTCAAGTAGGACTGAAACGTTGATTCTTTTAACTAGACTGATTAAAAGTTATATTTTATGGAATCCGTGAGTGCAGCCTTCTATTACAGCCATTTGGATGTTTGGAGCCCTGGTAGTGCACCCGGTCTTGGAAATTGGAGTCTGAGTGCAAGATACAGTTATTATTTTTTATGTATATGTATATATGTATATGTGTGTGTATGTATAAAATAGAAAATATAGGTACTCATTATAATTTTAATCTCAAAATGAAGCTGTCTGTAGACCCATCCTACACCAGGATTAAACTCTCAATCAGGAACATCTGGAATCTGATCTTATCCCCTAAACTTCTGTCCATTAGCGGTTTATGGGATACCTAGCACATCCTCAAATATCAGTTCCACTCATCAGTAAGGATAGCAGCCATACCACAGCTGCCAACCGTTTATTAATAACCTAGCTCACTCTTCACTACTTTCAGCCCAAGCTGTATGTACAGAATGTAAACACTGCACGCAATATTCGGACAAAATTCACCCTGAACAACCAGAACTTTGAGACCCATTGGTTTAGAGCAACCAAATAGGTTAAAAGATATGATCACCCAAAAGATCATGTGTGCCTCTTCCTAGATTGCTGCCTGAAATGATCAGATACATACGCAAACTGTTTGAACACTAATGTATCACATAAAGGTTCCATTTCCAGTGATAATGTATCTAGTTTGCATAGTGTAGAGATGATTTCACACTTGGCTGGAGCATGTTCTTTTAGTTACAAAAATTGAAATACTTTTTATCGAATTTTTTTGTTTTTAGGCAACTGTATAAGTGCATTGCCAAAATGAGCATCCGTATAAACTAAGACCTATTGTAATAGTGTATAATCGTGGTGTTGCAGGTCACTGTGCACTACATTTCTTTAGGTAGGTGGAGCATCCTGGGAAATGTAGTTCAATAAAACCTGCTCTGCTGTCTTTGGGCATTACTGTCTCCTACTGTGTCATTATGATACCAGTCTTTAGTATATCTACTACCTCTGTAAGGCGAGCCTGTTCTTCTCCAGTTTTATGCTAGAGAAATTCTAATAATAATAAATATATATATATTTTTTAATAAGTATGTTTATTTTTATTTTCTCAAAGGACTTACATTTCTATATAATATATGAAATTGGGATGCCTTTACAGTAAAGTGTAGCCCACGATCAATAAACATATAAAATACTTAACGTACTGGTATTGTACAGCGCTACGGAGTTTAGCGCTTTATAAATAATAATAATCTTCTGTAAATATGGTTCAACATGGGTAGGAACTTGGATCCACAAACCTTTTTATATAAACCTCTGTACTCTATCTGAAGGCCAAAAATCCCAAGTGCGTTGTATTAAAAGAAAAAGAAAATATTTATGGCGTGCTGTCAGATTTAAGAGCAGCTGATTAATGTTTCTATTGCACAGCTCTGTTGATCTCAGTAGGCTGAAAGGGAGCGTTAACACTCCCAGTAACAGAACCCATGGCCCTACATTTACACTCATTGTTAGGATTAGAGTCTGGGTGTTATCACTCCAACGCCCACCAGACACTACTATATTTACTTAAAACAATAACAAGTTTTAGTGTTAAATAAAAAGTCTATAGTCTGGCTGAAAAAGAGAGGTATAGAAATGCAGCAAGGATGAACATGAAAAGGAATTGGCGTTTGTCAGGTCACAGACTAAGTGATGGGAGTTATAGTCCAGAGCTTCTCTTGTGTCTCCATTAGCTTAGACTGCTTTTCACAGGGGTTCAGGATTACACCTGTAGATTATAACTACATTCCTGTCTTATAAATACAGAGTAGTAGCTGCATCTTTCAAACTGCGCTCAGCATTTTGAACACTCAGTTTTGATAGCGAACCGTGGGGTTTTATTGCAAGTCTCATGGCCAGACTTCTGTGACCCTATTTCTCAGCTACGTTAAGCAGAAAGTTTGATATGCAATGTGTGGTGTTTCCAGGTGCATTCTAGTCTTTGAAGGCCCCGTTTTAACTACTGCAGGTGAATTGCAGCGCGTGTTGTGGCAGATGTTTAAATTTTATAAGTCAGAAAGGCTCCACATGCCTAATTAAATTTCTGCTTGCATTTCCTTTTTCTTAATGGCTTCTAGTTCTAAACCATTTCTTCCTGTTTACAGATTACTAAGAAGCAACACATGGATGACCTTGAGGGGTCCTTGGATAGCTTAAATGACCATCTGCTTTCAGAGCCAGCTGGCAAGATGTCTCTTTCTTCGAGGCTTTCACTGTCGCACTCTGCGCCATCATCCATGCAGAAACGCCCACCAAGTCCAGTCCTAAGCCGATCCTCACTCAGGGACAGGTAACTTATAAAGGTGCCCCGAATGATAAAATGCCTTCTGCTAGCACGCCAAAATGTTCAAAGCAACTACTGCGCTACCGGCATTGTAAATAAATCACTCTAAATGTCTTGTTCCCAAAGCAATAGATTTAAATTTTGTATTAAGAATGTTTAATACACATATTTTCTAGAGATTTTGTTAAAGGGACATGCTGTAGTGGTTATGGTGCCAGCAGTCCCCAGGCACCATCCAGCGGTAATCTGTCAAACCGTTTACATACGGCATGACACTTACCTTGCTGTGTCGGTGCCTGACGTCCTTCTGGTTTTGAGTTCCTCTGGTATCATACTATATCACATACTGTTCAAGACTCTAGGTTGTGAAAAAGCACAAAAAAGAGCCATGTGAAATGGCAAGGGCCATACAGAGATACCGCTGTGTGTTTTTTCTTTGCCCTCTCTGGCTATTCCCTCATATATAGTAGTAATAAACATGCACTGCCCAGGCTGGTAATTACCCTCTTAATCCGTAGTTTATTTCGCTCACACATATTTTACAGAGTAGAACGAAGTATCCATTTGTTTAATATCAGTTCCTTTGTTATACGTGTAGCTATATACCTTTTCACTCCTTTACATCAGCACTGGTTTTCTCCCACACATTTCTGCTACAAATCTTCGGTCTTCTCATTACCCACCCTCTATTTACACTCCCGTCTGTCGTTCTTCTCCCCAGCCTTTGTAAAGGTGAAGTGAATAAGAAAGGCAATTTCCCCTAGAATTCTGTCTTACACTTCCCCAGCTACCAAGATGTATCTGTCTGTCAGGTCAGGAAATTGACTTTTAGCTCATCCAACCAAGCACTGCTATAAAAATTCAAATTATTGTGTGTTCAAACTAGTGCTTGTGTATGTGTAATCTCTATTTAAAGAATAAGTGTATGTGTGGCATATATACATATTATTTTTCAAATGTGTTGGATGCAGTTAAAGAGACAGATTATGTCATGTATGTCGGTGTTTCTGCTGAATAAGAATCAGGAAAACAATGTAAAATGTATTGTACGTTTTATCAATACAAATATTTATTAACTGTTAAATATTATGCTAGTTGCGACATATTTAATGTTTTTATATTATGTTAGTGATTTTTTTTTTGTTTTGTTTGTTTTTATGTTGCCAACTGTCAACATTTGCTTGGTGATCCAAAAAAAACTTGTTTGATACCTGATCCAGAGACTCCATTACTAACACAGATTGTAATTGTATGGGCATGGCTGATGGTGAATGCAGCAAGGAAAGGTATGAAGTCTGTTAGATATGCCAGGGTCGGCTATCTATGGAGCGGGTAAATGAACAACGTAGGCTGGAAAATGTAACAGGAACAAGCTGTTTGGATACAGCAAGAGGTGCAACCTGGCCTGGACAGCGGGACAGGGCGAGCTGAGTACATGGATAGGAACAGGCTGGGCTAGGCACAGATAGCTGGTGCTGGGTACAGGCGCGGGAACAGGATCTTGAAAAAGACTTACTGAGGTTGAAACATCAATCATGTACGCTCACTGTTCTGAAGACATGAGTGCACAGCATTGTTATTATCATTGTTTGCATTTTAACTCAATCTTAACGGGAACATATCGATCTTTGAAACCTTTATATTTTTTTCTAAGAAAGAGTGCTGAGCATCTTTTTGAGTCCTATATAATCACTAAGTAGAAATAGTGTAGATCCGTGGTTTGTGTTGTGGCTACATTTTATAATTGTCTTTCAGCCAATGTATTTACTCCACTTTCAATTCACTTTCAACATGCTTCTGCTTCCACTTATATGGATATGTATAATATATGCAGTTTCAGCTGTGGTCAATCTCTATGGACAC